AGTATCATTGTGAGTGCTGCAACTGCCAGCTTTTCTTTTCTTTTCTTTTCTTTTCTTTTCTTTTCTTTTCTTTTCTTTTCTTTTCTTTTCTTTTCTTTTCTTTTCTTTTCTTTTCTTTTCTTTTCTTTTCTTTTCTTTTCTTTTCTTTTCTTTTCTTTTCTTTTTTCTTTTCTTTTTTCTTTTTTTCTTTTCTCTTTTCTTTTCTTTTCTTTTCTTTTTTTCTTTTTCTCTTCTCTTCTCTTCTCTTCTCTTCTCTTCTCTTCTCTTCTCTTCTCTTTTCTTTTCTTTTCTTTATGTTGTTGCATGAAACAGACCATGCAACATGATTTTCATGGCCCCAAGCCGCATTGTTCTTGTTGATGTTTAAATGCAGAGAAGAGAAAGATATTCTCTGTACCAAAAGAGCTTACAATCTTTAGGTAATCTGGATTTTTAGTATGATGTTAGTTTTGTCCTTTATAAGTCAGAGCACTGAGAAAAAGTGAGCAGATACTCACCAGCTCAGAGAAAAAGGTGGCCATCTCCTATGAAAAAGCTGATTCGTGCTGCTTACTACGACCTGCTAAAAGAACCGAATGTTCACATTATGCAATAGCAGTGTCCGTGAACTAGTCCCATGTCATTGAAGTTAAATTTTACTTCAGAGGTTTTTGAGTTAATGATACATATTTCAGCTGTTGTACAAAGTTTAGAATTGTTGGATTAAATATTTCAACCAATGGTTATGTCCAGCCCAGTAAACAGAATGGTTTCCTTTGTGGGGAACCTGTATATTTCATGAACTCTCTTGTGCTAGGGGCCAGGGAACTGAAACACCAATTCTAAACAGAATTCCAATGATCATGATCATAACTTGCTTAGTTTTCAGTATAAGCTGAGAAGCATAAAGGCAAAGTTATCTGTTGGGAATTTAGATGGGGCTTGAACAGTGAACTATAGGACTTTGACATACAATAGGAAAGAGCTATTCTCCCTTCATGTGACAGCAGCTGGAGCACATGGTAACTTAATCATTACTTAAAGGAATTTAAATGCTCCATCATTTTGGAATGAGACTCAATATGAAAAATTACACAATGGCACTCCAGGCTTGAGCAGCTACATATTTAACAGTAGCTGATTTTCGTTTGCTAGGAGAGAAAGATTCAGCCTCATGCAGTTTTGTCTGGCATTTCTGTTAGCCAGTGTCTGTGAAGAAAAAAAGAAATGCATTGAAACTCTCCTTCGACCTACATAGCTGAATTGATGTCTCTCCCTTCAGACAGAAAATTCCCAAGCTTTAACTTCATTTATTGCAGAATTAGGAGGGATTTGTATGTATGAAGTTGGTAAATGGCTTATTGATCATTTGCCATTTACACTTCAGTTAAAGAAAAGGATAAAGAAATCATAAAGAGCTTATTGGATGCCAGCACTTGTATTTGACAGAAAATACATGACATGCAAAGTATTCTGTAGCTAATGTCTGGAGTGTAGCAGGTAGCACCACCTGACCACTTGTCCCATCATTATGTGGTCCTTACCATGAAGCTGACTTTGTTAGTGTGTGCTGAGAGTTCATAGCATTTTCTTTTTCCAGATTTGGTTCTTCAGCAGATAAGATGTTAGAGCACAAACAAGACTGTAGACTGTCCCTTTGATGCTAAGAATTAATTTCCTTTTCTGTAAAGTCATACAAAATTGAAACAACCAAATGTGCATCTGACAAAGGAAGGAAATGCCATGTTAGCTGCTAGTATCTGCCTTGCTTGGATGATACTGGGGAAAGACAGAAGCAAGCAATAATATGTAGGTACAAGTGTGGGTCATTCCTTCAAAAAATGCTACCTCTTGCACTTATTTCCTTATGTTCTGCTTAACCTACTTCTATTTAGTATACTTTATGCATATAGTTACTTCTATTCTTTGCTCTTGTACCTTAACTTAGGATTCCTATTTTGATCAGTTAAGGGTCTTCCTCCTGTAATGCTCTTCATGCCTAATGTCTTTTGCATTTGCGTTGATTGGTTACTGTGCTGCTTCTGTGCTCTTATTACTTGCACTGTGCTGAGACCACCTTCATTAGATATGCAATTTCATAGTTAGTGCTAACAAGTTGTTAACAGGTACCTTATAGATACCCTTTAGTTATAATTGTGATGAGGATAGGAAATCTCACAACATCAGGTAATTTACCTTGCAGTTTCATGGGCACATGTAACACACGTGCAAAGCTGTGCTAATCCTTCCTTAATACAGGCTGGCTAGACCAGGTGTATAGTTTTTGTGTGTAGCTGACAGCAGATCCAGTTTGTAAGTGTTTATATTTGCCCCAGTTAGAGCCAGTATTTGAGACATATCTTACCTATCAGCTAATATGTCTGGAAGAAAATGTCCATGTAGTGTTCCCGAAGATCCTGTATGGCTGTACTCTTTGTCACCTCCCATGTATAGTTGAACTGTACCTTTTTGCTGTTTCATTCCTTGATCTGGCAGTTACCAGAATACAGTTCTTGCTCCACTGAGCACAGGCGAAGGCTGACCTGTGCTCCAAATAGCTGTTCCGCTTTGTTGTCACATTAATGTTCGATAGGGCATCTGCTCACTTCTGTGAAGATCTTATGGGAAAGGCTTTCCTAATAACGTCTAATGAATAACTGAGATCAGAGAAGTGGCTCAGTAGAGAGTCACTCCATCAATGCTATACAATAGCACTCTGCTTACATTTCCAAAGAATTCAGCTGCTGTTGTAATGGAATGAAGGATGTTTTCAGCCTGACTGGTTAGGAAAAGAGAATTCTGTTCTGCAACTGTTGAGATTTCCTTTTGATATTAGCAATTGTCTCCAAATGACTGTCATGTCTTTATCATGTTATACATATATGGAACACTACAAAATTATTGAGCTTTTCTGACTTTAAGGACACTTTGTGTTTTGTAGGTTATCTTGTAGTGAGAAGTCTTAAGTGCCCCTCAATCCTAAAGTCAAAGGAATAATGAAAACCCCTGATCATGGGAGGGTAAGCACACCAATAACTTAGTAGTAGTTGGATGTCCCTAAGGGAAATTCTGATGTTAGGAAGGAAATATTTATGGAGGCCAGAAGTTTTATCACAAGGCAATGTGCCATCTTTATTATGCTTAACATTTCCAGTTAAAAATAAGCAACATTTATGATGAATAATTGAATTCATATTTTGAATTACTTTATTGGAGTTGAAGTATATATGCCAGTCAAAGCAATACCAGAGATTTAAAATTGTTTAGTGCGCTCCACTGTGAGCCTTTGTTTTGTTCATGTTCTTCCAAATAGTATTGCTTTGCTACTAGGACTGTGTGAAGGAAATACGTGCAATATTAGACACTTTATAAAGAAAAGAAAAGTCCCATGAGTTTGAATACTTAAAAAAAGAAATCTGGTGAAATGAATCCATGTGGTACTTTACAACGTCATACTATCCTGTAAGGCCTGCAAACTCTTTTGCCTTGAACTATGTATAGCAGGAAGAAGAATTAGGAGCTCACTATCAGAGAGCATTGCAGATTATTCACAGTTTGAAAGCCTGCAGTATGTGAACTCAAGCACAGATATTGATTATAGATCAGTGTAGAAAATTATATTGCATCCATTCCTACGACAGAGATCACTGGGAGTGGTATATCACACTAAACTCTGAAGTCAGAAAACTTGCATATGATATGTTGTAATATTTTCTCATTTATCTTTGTGCACACTATGTGCTTCTAAAAATTGTCAAAACTCCCATGAGAGACTGTAAATTGAACCATAAATTGTTGGAAATGCTTAAATGAACGCCTTAGAAGTTCATACGTTAGAACATTTTCCACTTTTACTGTAAATCTTGTAAAGCCACGAGTACAACAAAATATTCAAGGCATAAAATGTTTAGAGTCATCTCTACAGCTGCCAGTCAGCACCTACACTTGCAGTGAGAATAACTGAAGAGTCTGTCCTGATTACACATCCCTGAAAGAGGAGTATGTGTAATCACTTCTTAGTCATGATAGAGAAATACACCCTTAACAGGAGCCCTGCATGGATCCAAGAGCTGGAGGACATGACTGAGCTTTTGCCGACAGTTTGCTATATGTACATTACAGCCATTGTATAGGTGTTTTTAGGAAAAACTGTAAAGCAACAGGTATTCTGTTACATCCAGGAGTTTCAGTCTGAGGCAGTTCTGGGAGAATTTGGGCTCAGCTAGCTGGAAGTCACACGAAGCAAAGTAGTGGGTAATTGCTCTGGGATTCTCAGCTCATGAGGTATCTGTGGGAACTCTTATCCTGGAAGAGGAGCTACAGGTTCAAGATGATGGTGGTGATGGGCAAGATAGCACAGAGTATCTGTGAGAAAACCTAAATTTAAGTTGAAGAAGGGGTGGCTGTTGATATGGAAAACTTCAGTCAAAAAGGGCTGAAGTTTGTGAGGCTATGTACAAAACAAAGACAGCATGGCAGTATGCATGGAAACCTGACACAGTTTGATTACTCAGTGGAGTGTAGAGAAACAAGGAATTTCTCTCCTATTTCACTGAGCTTTTTCTTGAATCTGTACCTTAGACAGAGATGGCAAGCCAAGAACATCACTATTCTGATTTCAGGGTTGTAAAAACACAGAAATCAGAGGGAGAGACTGGGGATCACAGGTATTCCCTTTCTCTGTGGTCAACAGAGTGTTTATCAATTCTACATGTACTTTCAGTGTGTATGAGTTGCTGTCTTAGAAAGAGATGTACATATCAGCATGTTAAGCCAAAATGCTTGTGATTCATGTGAACCTATCCTGTTAATATCAGCCATCATAGTTTTTCTAAGCTGCCCAGGATGGAGTGCTTGAGAAAGGTGCTGGTTGGGCAAAATGGGAGCCTTACAAGTGACAGATGCAAAAGGTGACAGTCCATTTAGACCAACTTAGAATCATAGAATCATAGAATACTTAGGGTTGGAAAGGACTTTAAGATCATCTAGTTCCAACCCCCCTGCCATGGGCAGGGACAACTTCTAGTCAGGAAACAATTATCTGTTTTTTCCCTTCCTTTTAAGATAGCCTGACTGCCTATAACAGCTGGTCAGAGCCTGGTGCAGAAGGTGTAGTCCTCTGTGACATGGTTCGGAGTTGTTGGAATATACTTCTTTCTAAAGTTTAACTTATTGAATTCTTCTGTGATTTCCACGATTGATTTCCCTTTTGTTTCTGGAAGGAACAGGTGAATAATTGTCCCTGAAGTGAAAATTACTACCATAAAGATGAGGAAGCAGAAGTGCTTGAGTTTTTCCTGCAGGGAAAAGCAAAGTAAGAAAGAGAGCAATATCAGCATGTCTTTTCTTTTGCACTTTCTTTGCACAGTGTTCGTATTGGGTACCAAAGTACTTTGAATTGGACAAGGAGCTCTTTGCATTTTGACCTTTGACAAATATTTCAGTCTGAATAAGTATCTTGGGCAAATCAGAGCCCTTCCATTGCAGAAGTGGGCTTGGGAGAGCAGATGCCAAGACCACTGTAGACTGACATGGCACTGGCATTTCGTGCTGCTCTTCTTGCTCCAGGGGCCAACTCAAGCTTAGTGCCTATTGGAAGTGTCCCAGGGAAGGTGACTCACCACAATGAAGGGGAAGGTCGTTCCGATCACAAAGACGCCCAACCAGTTGAGAGTGGCGCCGATCACAAAGGCAGATGGTCTGCATGAGAACTTGGAAATTTCAACCCTAACAGAAACTGTGGCACCAGCTGAAAGTCAAAGCACAATAAGAATGTATGTTGCTCTGTTTTAGAAAAGAAAATGTTTGTGTCATCTTATAAACTGCTACACATCAGGTTTGTAAAGTGGTCCAGTGTTCAAATACATTTCTTGTGGAGTTTCAAGAATGATGTACTTAACTCTTGAGAAAGTCTGACATATTCTCATGAAAGAAACTGTGTAAGGGTGGAATTACTATTATTTCTAACAAGAATTCCCAGGATGATACTGCTAGATCACTAATGAGTGATCTTCCCAGATTCACTTCCTGCCTATTTCAGTCATGTTTTGGAGTCACAGGACTTTGGCAGCTTTCAGTTAAGAAAAGAATTCAACCCTGCCGTACGGGAAGGAAAATGTTTTGAAAATGAATAGGCTTTTAATAATATTTTTAAAGAGGAGCAGGTACTGCACTGCTGAATATGTGGGACAAGTTGTGATATTGTAGAACACTGGATTTTAAAGAACTCTTGCTTTTCTTTTTCTCTTTCTTTTTTTCTGAGTATTAAAAAACCCCAAACAAACACATCTGCTTTTGCTCTATTTTCGCCGTATTTTTCCAGTGAGTACATTCTGCTGTGTTCTTTTCCTCTTGTTAGCAAAACCCGAATCTGATGGCGTTGAAATTTATGGCCAATGATTGGACCCATAATGTTTAAATGACTATAAGATGAGGTTAAATTAATTTACTTATGCTAAACATTATGCAATATTATGCAGGATTTTCCTAGCCTCCCATGACTCTATTCCTTAATTTCTTCTGAATGAGCACTTACCTGGCCCAACTCCAAAGACAATTGCGAACAAGATAATCAGACAAAGGCTGCAGTATGGCATCCAGAAATACCAGTCCTAGGGAAAAAATCCAATACATAACAAACTTCTGAGTGAAATCTGTTAATAGGCGAGAAATGCTGCTTGTTTTCCAACACTGTAACCACGAGAGAAAACATACAATGTGTGGGAACTGGCAGAGAAATGTGATTGCTTTTTCCTGTGGTTGGAGCAGTGGGGTTTTTGTTAGGTGAGCAGAGAAGCAGGTTTGCTAGTGCAGAGCAGCTTGGAAGCTTTCAGTTAAGTCTGGATAGTACTTTTCTCCCTGTCTTCCTTTCTTCTTGAGCCCACAGTGCTTTTCCCAAGCCTTTGAGATATGAGAAGGCCAAATCATATCTTTCTTCACTTTTGTTAATGATAGCTCCAATAACTGGTACTGAAAAGGAACTTTTCTGGATCTTAGGCTTCAATATGTGAAATCTCAGTGCTTCAGGAAAAAAGATTTCGCTCTCCTATGTTTGAGATCCGTCATGAGCGAAACAAAAATGGAAGTCTGCTGCCACCTTGCTTCAAGGCTAGTTTTACAGTACTAGCTATAGAGTAGCTCTTGGATGAATACTTGGTAACCCGGGAGATTTACTTACGAAGAAGCTACAGCAATGACAGTGTTACAGAAGTGAACCATTTTCAAGTCTGTGAACAGATATGTGCATCCTTATATATTCTGCAGCAAAGTTAAATTTCAAATTAACTGATGCAAAGAGCTTGGGTTTTTGTTGTTACTCATTAGAAACTGTGCTACTAGAAAGGGCCATTTTCCTAGGACTGTCTTTGGCCAGTGTTTGATGCTTGCAGTCCAATGAATTCTGTAATGAGTGCTAGTTTCCCAGTGTTTTATGTGCTCCTTGCTGCACTTGTGAGATCACACTGGAAGGCAGGACTACAAGAGAGTACTTGCTGAGAGATGGTTTGACCCTATAGACAAGCTTGATTTTTAGGATATTCCCCTCCCAGAGGGTAAGCTGTTAATACAAAAGTACAAAAGTTATTTTGGCACTTCTAAGCCTCACTTTACTTTCTCAGTAGCATAGTCCTGCCTGTGAGCAGAAGTTAGAATAATCTGCCCTGAGAAGAATTTCCTTACCTGTAGTGAGAGAGTCACAGTGATAGCAGCTAGCAATGAGCCCATGATAAAATAACCTCCTCTTAGAAGCACTTTCCTGCCCAGTCGCTCAATGATGGAGCTCTGAAGGACAGAATCACACTGGTATCAGTACCAGAAGAGCAACTTGAGACCCATTCCCAAAGTCATGCGACTTACACAGACTGCAGTAGCTACGAGTTCAGAGAGTCCAACAGAGAGGGTCATATAGGAGATCATTCTTTCATCAAAGCCAGCTGCCTGGAGGACTTCAAAAGTATAAAAATAAATCTGGAAGAAAACCCCATAAAACAGTAAGAGAAGAAATTAATTGATTTCTTACCTGTACCTGTGTGACACTGCCCTGGACAGGAGCTGCTAGCCAAGCAGCATGCAGCTCCAGTTTGGAATCTAGATGTCTGCACTCTGGATCTAGAATTCTGCAGTCTTTTTGATAGTATTCACTTTATTGTGGACAAAGCCATTAAAAATTAAATTAATTAATTCATTTAATAAAGATGAAATGCTGGGCTAGAAAGACCTGCAGCTGCTGCAAAGTGCTTAGGTTTGCAGAGTCCTCCTTTAGGAGCTTTCAGAAGCAGCCAGGTATATTGTCTCTTCTGGAGCCCAGCCAAAACCATAACTGTAGGTTATTCCCAAGAAGAAGAGTGTGGGTTATGCAGTCGTGAGGAGTCTGATGTTTCCTTTAGGTCAATAGGTGTTTTGGGACTTTAAGGGGGAAATACACTCAACTGCATTGATGCCACATAGCTGAACTGTGGCGGTCAGAACAACTATCATGTACAGCTGCCAACGGAAAGCTGGTTCTTTCATTAGCTCCAGGACACTCAAGATCTTGGTGTTTTTCATTGTTGCCTTCTCTTTCATGAAGTCATCAATCTCTGCTTGGTGATGGCCTTCACCCCAAAGCTGCCTTATGGCTGTGGAGGAGAAGGAGAGCGAGATATGCCATGTTAATTTGTCTCTGTTGTTTGCTGCCTAAGGAGTTTGGTGAATAGGTGATTCAAGTGTCTGGCTGTGGCTGTGGTGTGAAGCAGAGATGTCCTATAGGGTCTTCCAGAGCCCTGATCCCCTTCTGCAGAGGGACCTGTTGTGACAGAGGGGCCTAGTGAGGTGCACAATGACTCCCCCCCTGCCCAGGGGTCCAGTTTTCTCCTTTCCTCTTTCTCTCAGGATATGAACAGGGTACACAGCAAACAACCAGAGCTAAGGGGTGCTCTGTGGAGGCCTTCAGTGCAAACAGCCATGTATCATCTATCATTTATCATTTATCATAATTTGTCATCAGACTGACAGTACAGGTGGTTTCAGCTGAATGCCAAAGGTTTTGTAATACAGAACTGTAGAAGGAAGTAGTTTCATGTTCTGTGTGGGGACTATAACAAAAATACACTTAGTAGGTGTCCACGGAGTTGTCTTGGAAATGAGCAGGGAGAATCTTTGTCCTGTATATTTTTTCCATATGGGGAGATCAAGCATCACAAAACAATTGAAAGTCAAGTGGTGAACTGGAGCCCTTGGTTACCTTTTTTGCAGCCTTCCTGGTCTCCTTTATGCATGAGGAGATATGCTGGGGACTCAGGGAAGAAAGGCAGAGTGACCAGCTGGACCAGTGCTGGAAATCCACAGGAGGCCATCAGCAAGGGCCATAGGTACTGGCTGCCTAGTAGCTCCCTGGTGGGAATGTAAGTTCATTGCATTGGTTTTGAGGAAAGGAATGGATGGAAAAGCAGAGGAAGAAGCAAAAGGTAGAAGGGATCCAGAAATTAAGTGGGTGCAAAATCAATTGTATTCTACCTTTGTCCTGAAATCTGCCCTATGGCTTTTCCCAGAGACCAAAAGAAAGAGGAAGTAGAGTTTGCAAATCCACGTAGCTTCTTAGGGGAAATTTCTCCAACATATTGATGATGTAGAGGAGCACAAAGACCTTGGGGTGAGGAGAGAATTGTGGGAGAGAAGAAAGAAGACATTCACAGCCACTGGAAACAAAATTGCATGTAAATAATGAAGCAGGACAGAATACCGCTGCCTCATGCACTGAAGCATTTCTTATACCTCAACCCACATAGGAGATTTTCAGTACTAGATTTTCTAACCCCTTCTGCAAAAGTATTTGGTCCTCTTTGCATAGAGTAGATTTCTGATCTGAAGAAATAGACAGTTTTCTTTTTAGGGTAAACTATCAGCATAGTATCTCTTGTAACAGTATATTTTAGAGAGGGCAGAATATGCAAGTGCTAAATAGCTAAACACCCTGTAGTAATATTTAATATGCTTGTTGTTAACCTACATCATCTCAACCTTTTCTGACATAATGCTGTAGAATAGTTGTAAGGTAGATCCACAGCAGATTAAAATGCACAGTGCTATACTCAACATTGATTTGTACATGATTTAGGGGAGACTCAAGCATTCCTTTCCTACTGTCCAGCAATAATTTTGATGATTTCAGGCAGAGTTGGTGTTTCCAGCTATATGTGAAGTACTTAATAACTCAGACATGCTGAAAACTAGTCTGGGAACAAGAGCTTTTTCCTAATATGGTGGTCACAGCCCCTTTTATCTGTTTTGAAAGCAACATGTTCTCTTGGCTTTATTTCATGGTAAAGCAATGCAGATGTCCAATCTCTAACAAAAATAAGGTTTTTTGCATGAAGCACCATACATATTCTAGACCATAGCAGGGCCCCTGTGGGTAAGTAGCTCTCAAAATACAACTGTAGTCCTTCAATACAATTCTATGTCAGAGAAACAATATACAAAATATGGTTATGGTTTGAAAAATAGACATTAATTTCTACTGAAATAGGTTAAAATAGGCACCTCTGTGAATATCCAAACTGAATGGGAAAGTATTTTTTTGTGTAGGAGACAAATACAAGGCATACTGACACCAGCAGAGGGTGGTTTTGCTGTATGTGGAATGAATTACTGGCAGGAGTTACTTTGCTTGATTATGCCCAGCTTTTTGTACTAACCCCAAGGAATTACTGCTTTGAAGCAGGTTGAATACCCTTGACGAACATTCCTGATATATGTTAGACTCAAAATTGAATGGCTGTAGCCTTGAACAGACTTATTCTCTGGAGTCTTATGGGAATACCAGATTTAAACCATATACCATGTAATTCAGGACTGTTAATTAAAATTCAGATAATATTATACATATTTCTCCATCAGTAAAAAAAACCCTTTGTTTCATATTGTACCAAAACATTCCTGATAGCTCTGAATATTTATACACTTGGCAAAGCTGAATTTCATTTTAGTGAAATTAGTAGTAATCACGCTATTCGTTGCTGGATGTTATAGAAGATCTTACTGCCAAGGGGTCACTGCCTTTAATATTTTATTTTCTTAGTGCAAGGTTATTATTTACTTTGAATAAAGATGTAAAATGTGGTGAGATCCTGCTGACCTGTGGAAGAAATCACTTACCTGCACTTACTCCACACAGGAAGCGTCCAATCAGAATCATCTCAAAGGACTGGGCTATTTTACTGCAGCCCATGATAGATGCTGACGTTATCATGAGTACATTGGTGCACAGGAGACATTTCTTTCTGTAAGTGCAAGAAAGAAAAAAGAGTTTTCATAAGTCAGAAGGGAAATGGTACTTAAACTCCTGGCATATGGGATGTCTTGGGTGAATTTGGCTTGCTACTTTTGTGGCATGTGTGGTCCAGGACAAAATAATCCCATCCACACTATTGGCACTAGATACTGCAGACTCACTGTGTGCCTTGGCACATGTCTAGACCTGGGAGTCTGTGAATGCTGAGAAAAGTCACAGAAAATGCTGAGTCTGTTTCATAACTGAGAAAAGTCTTAAAGCTTTTCTGCACGTGAAAATCCATCATGGAACACATTTATATAGCGCTTAGGAGCATCTCAGTGCTGCTGTACGTTCTATCTTCAGCCAAGGGGCTGCCTTTCCTCTGTGCAGAGACTAACCCAACCTGAATAACTGCGTCTGGTGTGAGAGGCTGGCAGCACAGTTGATTAGCCCGTGCCACAGGACAAGGGCGAGAAACATCGAAGTCTGTTGACACCACTGCTAAAGCTGCTGCATGTCTACAGGCATGTCTAAGCCCAACAGTCTGTCTCATGTTTAAAACCTCAGCTGTCATTTCCTTAAGCAAGATTCAATTGACAGATTGTCTTTAAACATACATACTTGCCATATTTGACCGTCAGGTATCTAGTTCCTGAAGAGCCCAAGAGACCTCCTATACCATAGATGGACACGGTGATAGACCACAGGAACAAGAGGTTATCTTGATGGATGGGGTAGCCATATCGCTCCAGCCAAGTTTCATTAATGAAAGCCTTAACATGCTGAGGCACAAAGAAGAATTTTCACTAACAATACCTGTGACTCCAGTGCATGGATTATATTTAGAACACAATTTTGTTGCTTCAACTTCAGTAACTTTTTCATATAGACTCTAAAAACATAGCTAATAGACATAGCCTAATGGAGTATGCTGTGTTAATTTTGCCGTGAAAAGAAGTTAATTCTTTGGGCATTTTTGTCTTTGAAATCTGACAAGCTGAGGCACAGACTCGTACTAAAGAACAGTGTGAACAGCCCTGTAAATTCTGCAGATGTATGATGGGCTTGCTCTCACATACGTGCCAATAATACCAGGTTACACAGTGACTGTTCAGTGCAGTTTCTAAATACTTTCTCAGTCTGAACTTAGTGTTCTGGAGCCTGAAAATAGCACTTTTCCCATAAGGTGATCTCTACAACATAATAATGTCTTCCCTCTAGACCCCAGTATCTCAAAAGGAAGTTCTACCTGTGTTCAGTGGAGAGAAGCAGACACTTTCCTAGAACGTGGTTCACTTGATCTGTTCTATTTGTCTGTGAAGATGGGTAACTATAACATTATCAAGTGGAACCACTGAAGTAGGTTTATACCTACATGTAAAATACAGATGTGCTGTAGGTTTATAGGGAAGGCAGATGACACCTCAGTCAGTATGTGTCTTCTGAGGAATAGTTGTATTAACAGCAACTTGCAGATGTCTCTCTTTTTTCCTATCTTCAGCAGTTTGATATGTTCTGCTTTACACAATAGCATAGCAATGGGAATGAAGCATGAGAGAAGAATACTATGATTAAACCCTTGCTGACTGCCAGAGAGAAGCATCCTCAAACAGAAATGTAGACTCAGAGCTGCTGTTAACCAGCGTGCCATGTGCTTTTTTGCCTACCTGAGACACATAGGTGATTGTAGAAATTTGAAAGCCAATTTGGAATGTCCCCCCAATCCCAAGGATGGTGACCATCTGAAAGAACCCCTGGTACTGTACCTGCAGAGGTAGAACAAAATTTTAAGCTTGTAGCTACGTCAGACTGTTCTTGCAATGTGTCTTTCACTCTCCAGCAGCATCTCATTTGCTCAAGGGGCTTGCAGGTAGGAAAGTTCCCTCTGCTTGTCCTGGTGTGAGGCATACATCCCTCTGTGATTTCCCAACATCCAATTCAAGGAAATGCAGCCTTTAGCTATGGAAACCATTTCATTTCTCTCCCCTCTTCTATCATTAGTCAACAGAGTAGCAAGGTCATTCCACACTTCAGGGCTAATACACGTGAGAGTGCTTTTGGGGAGGGAAGTCTTATTTCCTCTCCGCTACCTGGATAGTGGCCAGGCTACCTGTGCCCACAGCAGTGACTGGGCCATCTGTACCCAGACCTTTTCTGCCTTACCTGAGGCAGCAGCTGCTGTGCCAGATACTTTTCAGGCCCTTGAATAGTGGGCAGTGTTTCCTCTATTCAAGTTTTGTGTCAAAGCTGTGGTCAGTTCTGAGCTCTTGCTCCACCTGCCTGTCTCAAGCCGCATGGTCACGTTAACCTTTTGGAAGCTTTGAGAGCAGGCATCCCACTTTAGTTTTCTTTTTCTGGTTGATTACGGATCTGGGAATACACAACCAGTACTGCTCTTAGGTTTACCCTACAGCAGCCTTTACAGCAGCACACAGTGAATATACTGTGAATGAATGAAAAATGGTCTGCCTTTCAGAGGTGCTATATTCCTCTTTCCTGCATGAGAGGTTAAGTGTGCTCAGCAAGAGCTGAGAGCTATTTTTCAGAGAGACTTTGTCCTACTTGGAAGTGCCTCACTGACGTATGAGGCAGCAACTAGTTCAAGACTCAGCCACAGCCAGGATATAAATGTTGCAGACTCCCACAAACATCGCTGTTAAGATGCCCCAGCTGCTGATATCCTGTCCAGTTTCCTGCCTTTCAAAACTTCTGCCTGCCATCTCCTGGGCTAAATTCATTCTGTATCTTACAAAATTCTTTCTTCAGCAGGCAAGCAAAGCAAAATACATTTGAAGGTAAGCAAAGATTTTCCAGTGAATGAAAACATTTAAGAAACATTAGCATGTTGACGAAATGTGGCAAAGATGGATGGCAGAGCATATGGAATGCATTAATACCTCAAAACAGTGGTCAGAACCTCTTCCAAGATGATTTTAGTGAATAGGAGCCTTGTTGTTTTTACTGAAATACTGATTTTGTTTTCTTTGAGACACCAGTAGTGTACAAAAATGTCCCACATTTTTGTATATTTGTAAATACCCCATCAAGCACTTACCAGGTCTGATAAGAAGCCGGTCATCTCTGTCTAGGGGCTGGTTGTCCAGTGTGTGATGTGTCTGTCATCACAAGCTTCATCTGCCTCCTGCCTGCTGGTGTGGCAGTGGGCATTTGGCTTCAGGGACCAGAGTTAAATTTTTACTATTTTCTCTTCAGTCACTTACTTTTACTTCAACTGGCCAAAGTTAACACTGATGGATTAAACATTTTGGGACATAATTGCATCTAGTTCAACTAGGGGGAAAGTTTCAAAGGCAGAAAGTTTGCATCTGGGGGGTAGTGAGGTTTTTGGAAAGGGAAAAGAGAACAATCCAGGCAAAAAAAATCAAAACAGTTTTCCAGGAACAGTAAAAGACTTTACTTCTATGATGCAGACCAGTGAGTATATCTGCCATAACCTGCGCAAAGCAAAAAGCAGCTGGCACAAGGTTTAGGTATTGCTATTTAAGTAAAATGTGTGATGTTTCGTTTCAGATTAATTAGTATAGTAAATATAATTTATTAGAAGAAAATAAGACAAATTTCAAAGCCTAATTCTGCCGTTATGGCTTTCTGTACCAGACAGATTGTATTGAGGAAGGGTGTTTCTTCTCTGGTGTTTATGGGGATGTTTGTCAGGCAGGTATGGTGAAAAGGGAGTAAGAGATATTGTGCCCTGGCAGGAGCTTTTGGAATAGAGCATTTGGTCCTGAAGGTTCTGCTTGGTGCAGCCAGCAACTAAGACCTACTTACTCATGACAGTAATCAAAGAAGGTAAAAAATTCCTTAATGAGTTAGGATGGGACAAATGGGATCTTAATCCCTCAGGTTTCAGCTTTCACACAGAATAACTCCAAAATCAGTGTTGCAGCCACTGAAAAAGTCACCTTTGGTTCCCAGTGGTTCCTCTCTTGTGAAGTGAAGCTCTAACTGTAGCTGTGCATGGCTTCTGCTAGAGACAGCACTTGAAAGAAAGAGATTTGCCCAGAGCTTTCATGTGTGGTTGATGCTCTGAGCTGTTCTTGCTTTCAGAGGCTTCTGCTTGCTCTTACTCATGCCAGAGGACTTTCATCTGCCCCCAAGGCTTGGGGGCAGAGCAGATGGGGCAATGGGGTTGTACTGAAGCCATCAGTAAATGCTCAAGCTCATCCTCAGGACTTGTATCTTCAGTTCTTGTAACACAGAATGCAATTATTTACAGAGGGTTTACTGCAAATACTATGAGTCTAAAGAAATGCGAAAAAAACAGTGTTAATAATAAAACCTTGGTGGCTTGTGTAATTCCAACTATTGCCTATATAACTGCATGGCAACTGCTGTTTACCCTGGCTTGAAATAGCATTTAGAATGATTTGGCATTTTTGTATTTTCTCTTTAACACCAGTGATTGTAACAGTTGGATTGTACAAAAATTAGTCAATAGCATTTACTGTTTCAAAATGTTAATGATCACTTTTTACTGTATATTTTTTCTCAGATTATGAGGGTTATGTCAGAAAACACAATGGGACAAAAAACTTGCATTGGAAACAATGGACTGCATGCGTGATACCACCTCTAATTGAAGCACTGGGGTACATTTCTACCAGTGTCTTGTCCTGTTTGGTGATTGTTGAGAAAATGCTTCTTTTCAAGAATGGGTTTGAAATAGAAAATGTCCTTTTAAAAGCTTTTCACATGCTTTTAACAGCAAGAAACTGCTATCATTTTAGTTTCCATCCTGGATATCATCTCATGCAAGTTATGTGTGGTCCAAAAAAAGAATAGATACACCTTTCATCATCATTTAGTGTTGGACCTATAGAAGTGAAAATAGAGGTGTTCATGCTGTGAATTTCCTGAGGGAGATGAGGGGATTCACATGAAGCTTTTTCCTTTCTCTTTCACTATTTCTAGAGCTATTTTAGCCTCACTGTGTCCAGGCAGGCCCAAGAAAAGAGACAAAAATATGGGATGAGATGCCTTCTAGCCAGTTTTATTAGCTCATCTGACAACAGCTACCAAAGCCATAATATTTACAGAACGTAACCTCCTTTAGGCAGGTACAAACATAACTCTGACACACTAATGGTAATGCCACTGTTTGTATTCAGTTCTGTTGCAGCCTCATAACAGTGAGTTTGGCCTGTACTGGAATAAGTGAGGCCAGATGGCACCTGAATTTCCAATTTCTTTTTAAAGATGTTAGTCACAGCAATGACACTGAAGTAGTAGTACAAAGATGAGAAATAGTTTAGTTGTTTTGTCTCTCCTTTTGAGTAAAAGATAGGGAGGGTGAGTAGCAAAAAAAATATGAAATCTTGCTTGGAGAAGTATGAGAAAGAGAGGCCTTGGCATGGGGTTAAAACAATGTGCAAACTTTAATAGTGTCAGGTTAATCATATACTCTGTGGTTTATCAGTACCTGTAAGAGGTGCAGCTATAGTAAGCATTTGGGAGAGCAGGCCTTTTGATGTTTGGCACATTGGATTTGTGCAGCCTGGGAAGATGAATGCTTGAGTTGGAAAGGTTTGTTAAAGCCATGAAGGAGTGAAGGTGCCCAGCAAGACTACCTGTGAAGGACTGACTTCTTGCAGGAGACACTGGAGCTGTATCAGAGGCAGCATGGCTGGACTTCCTAAGAGAGGGACAGAGGGATCCAAGGCTTGTGCTTTTAAACCTGACATGGTGCTGGGTGACAGGGATGAACAATCCCTCTGCAAAGTTCCAGCTGTGCTTCTGCTGAGATCAGTTCCTTCAAAAGCACCAGCAAAGACAAAGGGACACTGACCAACGTTACAAGAGAAAATTCTCTCTTCTGTATGTGCAGGAAGGTTGGGACTCCTGGTAAGAAGATATGAAAAAGAGAAAGAGGAAAGTAAAATTAGAGAGAAGGAACTGACAAGTGAAAGTGGAAGTTACCACAACAGAACACACTATTGATCTGGTACAGTACCAATAGTGAACACTGATCCTGTTTTTCCATATGTCTATTTACTTAGCTATAGCTCCATGGCTTTAATGTCTGTTCAGCACAGTTGAGAAGTACTACCATTCGCAAGTGCACCATCTTGTGAAATTTGTGCTAACTGGGAAAGAACAGCATGGAAGAAGAGAAATGTTATATTTGTGTTCTGTTCTGTCTCATGCTGGTCTTATTTTCAAACAGGCAACTCAGGCATTAGAAATTCCCTTTTACAACATTGTCAGGGAAGCTGCAAGCTGTATGGCAGAACTGCTACAGAGGGGATGGGGGAAGAGGGCACGGTGGCAACAAAAAGCATAAGATTTCATCCTGTATACAGGCAGCACCTTGGTAGTCATTTTAGAATCAAATATATGGGGGGGCATGGGAGCTGTTGTGGGCAGGTCAACAACAAGATAGATAAGCCAGTCTGTCCCAGTGTTGTGTTATTGCAGAATAGATGTCTGTAATTCAGAACTTCTTTAATAACATGATGCATTTATACAGCACTTTGTCAGCTCAGTGAAGCTCTCTCTTCTTCTGTTAGGTAGGTAGATAGTGAACAGCAGTTTTCCAAATAAAGAGTGGTAGACGGAAGGGCAAAAAAATCCAAAGACAAATCAGCAGCCAGTTGATGGCCAGGAGAAAATCTCACGACTTTCCTGCACCTTCTGCTTAAGTAACCATCTGACTCTGAGGTTAATGTTTACTTCGTATGATTTCTATTGATTTATGGTTTTTGCAGCAATTGGTCAGTGCTTAGAATGGATGGATTAAATATTTCAATGACTCAATGGAAGAGGTCTCTGAATGGAAACACTGGGTAGTGTGAGTGCTCCATATTTTGAAACAGGAAGTGAAAATAGATCGAATGTAAAATGAACCCAGGTTCCGGCTGCTGGACACACACTGGCATTTTAATATCAGAGCTTCTTCTGTGGCTATTTCTTTAGAAGAAGCAAGCAAATTATTTGACATTTTAAAACAGAAAAATCCCTTATCCTGTTTCAGTGCCCCACCACAAGGTTAATCGATATGAATGGTTAAACTGCATGCTAAACAGGAGGCATGGTATAGCATTTGTAACTGTGATGGGAAACAGAAAAACAACAAAGAGATGTTGTGCCCTGGCAGGCAACATATACAAAGGTAGAAGAGTTTTGGGAGGGAAGTGACTAAATGGTGCAGTGGTCAGCAGGGCTGACAGCTCTTGAAAAGCAGCAGTACATGGGTGCTGTGGAGCATAGCAACGGTAAAAGTGTAGTATTGTAAGCTGATGTGACACTGGTGGAGTGCAATGTGTCCTAGGCCATTACACAGACAGAGCACATTGCTTGTCACAGTTTCTGCTTTATTTATTTATTTTAGCAGTTAATTATTTATAAAATGGACTGAATTTCCAGTGTCCACTCTCTGTACTCTCTTGGTACTCTCTGAAAGTGTCTCACTTCCTGTTTCACTCCAGGGCTCTAGCTGTCAGCACTGCCTGTATGTTTGTTAAACTTGTGCCACTCATCAGGTACTCAGAATAAGGCTGAGAGCACTGCTTACACTACAAAAATTTCATCTAGATTTTGCTACAACTGATATGCATGGAAAGTGCAGTCAGTTTGCTCCAGAGGATTCAGGTGAGAGTTCTTTGGTACCAACCCAGGGATCAGGGCTGATCTCTGACAGTCATTATAGGACATACAGTTACTTGATGTCAGCTCAAGAAAATAGGAACAAAATTGAGTTCTCTTTGTTATCCTGCCTGGTATTTGTTCATGTGCAGTGTTCATGATCAAGGTCCTTTACAGTGTGATAACATAAGGAGATCACATGAAAATAGTTTTCAAGAACTATGTTTATGTTTAATCTTTTCTTCATACCACTCTTAATCCTGAGCAGAGCTTTCTTACAAAATAAGACAGAGACAAATCCTCTTCTTTAAAATGACAGCATAGGAGAAAGAATTGAGATGAAATTGATGTGTTACACTTGAAAATGTTTTGCATGTGCCAGTTCTGAGAAGTGTCTGTAGTTATTAATGTCTTCCTGCCTATTCCTAGCTGTTTTAGGAAGGAGCCATTGTCTCTCACCATGAAAAGCAAAGATAAAGATAAATGTAAAATAGGACTACTTGGATTAATAACAAGCTATCTCTGGATTACATTTTGCGTTACATTTTATTGAGAAAAGTCCATGTTAAGGTTTAGTTTTCAGTTTGATTTTGAGACAGGGCTTTTTGTCAGTGGGAGTTGCTTGGTGACCTATCAGAGCTTGGTGCAGAATGTCTTCTCTTCAGTAGCATTCTTCTCCACAATCTGATGACGTTTCTTCTTAACCTGGCATGTTTTGAATTCCTCTGTGATTTCAGAGGCTGATTTCCCTTTTGTTTCTGGGAGGAATAGGTAGATGAGAGCCGCTGAAATGACCAGGACAGCAATAAAGATGAGGAAGCAAAAAGGACCAAGGAACATCTAGAGATAAAAATAGAACAAGATAAGTGATCTCCCCTGGCAGCACTTTGCCTCTAAAGATTCTTGAACACTGTTGATTTGCCCCTGTGAAATGAGGAATAAGTTGGTTTTACACAAGGAGTATCTATTTATCTTTTTAATCTAGTCTTGAGGCAGCAGGTGATGTCTGAAGTTGAGAGAAGTTTTTTACATAGATGGCATCCTTATACCAGTAGGAATAAGAGATCCACAGCTTTGATCATCTACAAGGCATTTCATCCTACTCCCTGTCCAGAGCAGCCTAGAAAACCAGTTTAAATTGATAGAGTCAACAAGAATATTTGAATAAAATTACATACAACAGCAAAGGGGAAAATCATTCCTGTGAAAGTGAGGCCAAGCCAGATGATGATTCCACCGATTACAAAAGCAGAGGACCTTGTCGAAAGGGTGAAGATTTCATTTGTGACAGATGTGATGGCTCCCGCTGAGGAAAAAACATAAAAAATCAATAGAAACACTGTTGCATTTAACCATTTTCCTCAAAGTGAATGAGCTGGTGTCACTGGTCAAACACAGCCCCAGTAAGTCAGACTACTGTGAGATCATCTACATTTGGGCAGCACAGCCATCTCTATCTGAATTCACCTACAGACTTCTCTGGTGGTCCATGGAGCACCAAGTGCAGTTTCTAGCTACCTAACATGTATAAAATATAGAGATGAATGGCCTGAATGGCCTATTCTCTCCACTGCCTGTAGGAGACACCTGGGTTCTGCTACCATGGGAATTCTATCAGGTTTTCAAGATGTTCATGGTCCTCATAGGTAATAATACAATAATAATAAAGTCTTAATAATAATAAAGGCTTAATTAAAAAGTTATTTTTTAATAATAAAGGCTGCCGTTTGAATTTGGAGACTGAAATAACTTAAAGTTGTGTTTATTCAGGGACCTTTCAGGGTAGATACTGGTTTTATGTGAGTGAGGTCCTGGTAGAGAGCTGTAAGTTTGGATCTGGTATGTACTGATGTATGTGGTTCAGAGTGGCATTGAGGGGATGAGAAAGCACTGAGCAATGCTAACAGAGAGACTTTGTGTGCTATCAGGTGTCATTCTTTAATAAAGTAGAATTTTACAGGTAAGTTGAGAAAACTCTGATAGTTTAGAAGGGGCTATCTCTGCCACAGGCAGAGGATGGAGCAGTTGAGCCTGTGTGCACTGAACAGCATTGACACCCTCCAACACAAGTCTTAGTGAATTGATTAACAAGGGTTTTTTTTGGCTTGAACCTGTAATTCAGTGAGAAGAAACAGGGTTCTGATCCATCAGGGTCTGAGTAATTTAAAATAATTTGTTAAGAAAATTATTTCTTGGGTCATAAATTCATCAAAAATTGGGACTCCCACCATTGCAGTGCAAACTAAGCTGTTGGTTTTCAAAGGTATATTCACGCAGTCTAGTTCTACTTCCATACATTCATGGCTTGTGCTTATCCATGTGGTCCAAGGTTGTTGCTTTTATTGTTGTACTCACCTGGTCCTAACCCATAGGCAATGATGAATAAAAAGATAAGAATAACACTGCAGTACCGCATCCAGAGGAACTGATCCTAGACAAAGACAAAAGGAGGGAAGTGAATGAAAATTAATATTATAGCTGTAGCATGGCTGATCCAAATGTACAGGAGAAGCAATTATTAATGTAAATGCTCATGATACTCAGCTCTGTAGTAGGTGCTCACTAGAGCTACTTATCTTTCTGTATTGAATGCAGTAGAAGGCCAGGAGTAGCCTGCAGTGTCCTACCTACAGAGGTGAGCTGAACTGCACCCTGGTCTGAAAAACAAGTAACAAATTCCAAGGTAATTATAATATGTGGAGAATTGTTACTGATTTAACCTGATTATCTCACTGAATGAGACAACCTCAGAGAAATGCTTAAGTCTCTTGTGAACCAGAAGATATCTGTGAAGCAGAAAGAAGCTGAAAGTATATGGACTGAGACCACAACTGCAGTGCAGTGCAAACACCAGTGCTACTGGAGCCATGACACTGGGTTACTCACTACTTTCCACCATCCCAACTAGAAGTAGCTAATAAGCTGCAGTATGTAGTGAGATCACTTGTATCAAGGGTAGGAAATTGGTGGGGTTTGGAAGTGTCATTACACACAGTTTCTGCTGCAGGAGGCATGGGACAGCAAATGGGAAAGGTGGTAGCACAGATGCTCATGTACGGATTTAAAAGACAGCAGAACAAGACATAGAATCATAGAATCATAGAATAGTTAGGGTTGGAAAGGACCTTAAGATCATCCAGTTCCAACCCCCTTGCCATGGGCAGGGACATCTCACACTAAACCATGTCACCCAAGGCTTCGTCCCACCTGGCCTTGAGCACTGCCAGGGATGGAGCATTCACAACCTCCCCGGGCAACCTATTCCAGTGCCTCAGCACCCTAACAGGAAAGAATTTCCTCAATAGTCCGTGGGACTTACTAGAGCAGGCAGCCTCTCTGCCACATCCCTGATCCGTGCCCCTGGTAGGCAACACACCTCTCTTGAGATTTGGAGAGATCAGAGCTGGAGGAAAGCTCTGCCAGACCAATGGCTTTACAAAATGTTTCTCACTGACTGTTTGAAAGCCTGATTAAAAAAGATGAACCACAGTGCAGGTCCACAAAACCCTTGCAGAGAGGCTGAGTTTGTATTCAGAAGATATCCTGACCTACTATTTTGGACATGAAAGCTAAGGCTGATTATCTGCCACCCTGCACAAAGAGTTCTGACACAGCTCCACTCCCAGAGAGACATTTACTTACGCTCAGTAGAAGACTTATTTCAAGCAGTGTGAGTATCAGTGCCATCAGCAAATAACCACCCCACAGGAGTATCCGGCGTCCAAAGCGATCAATAATAGAGCTCTGAGGAGCAGAAAAAACTTGCATCTCACTGGAAGCATGGCAAAATCCGGCTGTCAGGCATCCAACAACTCAAGCATTCGTCCTGAGTTCTTTTTTATTTTAGAGAACACAAATCTTATTGGTACAATGTTTGTTATTTTATTGAATTCCTTCCAGCCTCTCTAATGCTATGAATTACCACTGCTGCCCAGCACTGCAGTTACTTCTTCATAAATACTGTATTCAGTGGAAGCATTCTTTAGTTCATAAGGAGAATATTCATTTTCTTTCAGGAAGAATAGAGTCAACTCACATGTAGTTTAACTCTTAAAGCCCCAGAGAGGTCTGACTTACACAGAAGATGAGAGAGATGAGCTCGGAAACTGCAACTCCTAGAGATACATATGGGATTATGCTTTCCTTCAGGTTAGCTGTCTGAAAAATTTCTGAGGTGTAGAATGTGATCTGGGAAACAAGAAAAAATTCCAAAATGAAGCATAGTCAATAGATATGATATGTGCTTACCCAGCATCATTTAGTACAAGACTTGTCATCACTGCAAAAGCAACAGTACATTGTTGGGGCTTAGTGGAGGAAACATACTTGCCTGAGATGTGAAAATTCAAAAAGGTAATGGAGATGAAGAAAAGGTATTTGAAAGGCCAGGGAAGAAAAAAACCCAACCAACACAGAGGTGCCTCCTCTGCCCACAGTTCTGGAAAGTGTAATGAACAAGCTCCAGCGGAATGCAGTGTTTCTGGAGAAAGACCCATAGGTGAGTGATAAAAATGATAGGCAGGGGAATGACTCTTAGCTTGAGCTGTACTGGGCACAGCCACCTTTATGTGGAAACAACTGAAAGGAAATTACTTAAAGGATAAATCTCCTTTATCAAATGGAATGACAATTGAATAGCAATAGCTGACCATGTACTACTGCAGAGGTCAGAAAGTGGAGCTGGAAGTCTAGATAAACAGATCTCTGGGTTGTAGCAAGCCTTAGGGTATTTATAACCCCTTCTACAGAATCTTTGGTAATACCACCAGGGGAATGAAGACAACAGTGCCCTTGCAGGAATTTATGCTGAGTTGGATCTCTTGTATTTCCACCTGAGAAGCTCCCTGGAAATGTGAAGAATACTAGTGATGATACCACAGATCTTCACAGACAGTGGATTCTGTGTGAGGGGGGAATAAAGTAGATTCAGAAAAAAATTAGAAGCTAGAATTGTGGTGCTTCAGTTACTTAGTAGTAGATCTAAGCATGGAAATAGTGTATACTCAACTGCACTCAAGCCACAGAGCTGCAGACTCAGTAAAATAAGGAGCATGGTGCCCAGCTGCGGATACACAGATGGTTCTTTCAGCATCTCTAGGACATTCATGATTTTGGTGCCTTTTGTTATAGCCTTTTCCTTCATCATGTCATCAAATTCAATGAGATAATTCCCTTCTCCCCAGAGTTGCTTCATGGCTAAAGAAGAGACAGAATGAAATAAACTCCCCATCATCTGATCTGCTCAGAGTGCTGTATTTTTCAACTTTCAATAACATTAAGCATTTGCAGTTCAGTCTGTGTTTTGCTTCATCAGTCCCTGAGCAAAGGACTAGAATATTGCTTACTGGAACATGCTGAGACTTCCCTGGAAATGGCTTTTAATTTGCTGTAGTATTTAGGGGTAGATCTTAAATACTTCTGATGACTGTACTTAGTCTGGAGGAATTTAATAATATAATTATCAAGAAATCTGTAGTTGGCTGCTAGAAAAGCTGACCCCCTCTGTTAGTTTCACTTTACTGAGAGTTATGGTTTAGCGAATTAAGGATCAAAAGTTTTATGTTACCTTTCAAGCAACCGGGTTTGTCTCCTTTTTGCAGCAAGAGATAGGGAGGAGACTCAGGAAAGAATGGCAAAAAGACCAGTTGAATCAATGCCACTAACCCAGAGAAGGACAATAGCACATTCCACATATCTTCAGTTCCTAAAAGATCTCTATGAAAGCATGTTAGAGTGTATTTATAGTTCAGTAAAATTACAATCCATAACTAATTTGGTATTTTCCTAGATCCTATATTAGTTGAAGAGACACAATGTTACATACGTAGCTTGGGAAGATCAATTGAAATAGAAGATGCTTAGGCTGGGAAAGGAAAACAGGCTCATACTTTCTACTGCAGGACTGAGATTTTTCTTGTAATCTGACTATTATGTAAAGATCAGTGGAGTATGAATATCCTGCAACAGTCTTCTGAAGCAATACTGCAATTCTGAGTGAGGGTATCAAGTAATCCGCAGGATTTAGATCCCAAAAGTTTACTGAGAGTGTTTGCATACAACTTTTTTTATTAACTTCAGCAGAGAGACCGCACCTCCAGAGATGGATTCATTCTTTCTCGAGAGAAAGGCCTTTCTCTCCCCAGTGACACATAAACCTCTGTGACTGGTATGAGGTAAACGCATCCATTATTATGGCTGTATTTAAGCAAAGTAAAATCCCACCCTTAGTGCATTTCCATTTCTAGGACTGGGATAACAACACTTCCCTGCCGTACAGAAGACAAATAAATAGAAAACAGGATGAGAAGGAGTAGCACAAGTACCTTAATCCAAGAATTCTTGCGACAGCTTTTCCTAATGCAAGAAACACAGAGGAGCTCACATTTACAAAGCCACGCAACCTCTTCGGTGAGATCTCTCCAGCGTATTGAACGTGGGCACTCAAGTGTATTCCTGAAATGAAGAAGACACAAAAGAGCTAAAGCTATAGAAAGCAAGAGAGGCGGTCCCTTTTCGTTTTTTCCTTCGCCTAAAGGTAGCTTTCTCGTTTCTCTTCTGAACTGTTTGCTCTATATCCTCCACAATAATAGGCTAAAAATGTACCTTTTCCTTTAAGCAAGATGTTTAGTTAATCCACCAGATCTCTCTTTCAAGACCTCTTGAAGGCAAAGGACAGCTCATCTTACCTTTTCCCAATCTGTTCCTTGTTCCACTGGGGTTACTGTGCATGCCTGGGTACTCCCAACAGGAAGATTTCTGTATCCACCCCAAAGTAGTCACATTAACAAGGAGTAGTGGGGAGTCCTACCAGCACCGATGCCCTCAAGGAAGCGCCCAATCAGGATCATCTCAAAAGATTTGGCTCTCCTACTGAAGCCAGTATTCAGTGTGGCTATTATGAGGACCACGTCATTGAACAGCAGACATTTCTTCCTGCAACAGCAAACATGCGGGTGTGATCCATGTTTTACTTTTTCATCTTTGACTAATGCCTGCCTGTTCTCCTCTGGATTTACAGACCAAGTTTAAACCAATGTTTACAAGACAACCATATCCGATTAGGAAAGTCATGTCTTTGCAGGGAAATGGTTCCTCTTTTCCATGCTAACACTATGTGAGCACGCCATGAGGATGAAGGAAATTCCTGAAGGATAAATATTGATAAGGAATGGTCTTTCTCACTTCTCTACTGTGGATAAGGTTCCCATCTCAAACACTGCGCCTGTCCCCAGAACAGGGCAAAGTCAGCTTCATGGAGAACATGTTTCACTCTCCAACCACCTCAAGGTAGAGAGTTCTGGCTTTGTGCTGTATGGCCACCCTCAAAGAGAGGGTTCTGAATGGGGCCTGAGGGACTTCTGCTTATCCTTGCTGAAACTCTTATTATTCTCACAGAGGAATGAACCTGCACGTTTTTTTAAAAGGCTGTGATCAATAGAAAGGAAAGAAAAACTTTTGCCTACAGAATATCTATCCTCTATTGCATTACTGCAGTGGTGTTGGGCTCCAGAGGGCATTATTGCCCAATAAAGACATTTCAGAGATTTATTTTTTACTGAAATTTCAGTGAAAATACAGGAATTGTACGGCACTAAAACCGTGACAAGGGAATCAGAAATGGTTGCATGTTCCTGTCTCTCTAATGTACCTAGGGGCAGTTAAACACAGAGTGGAGCAAATTCTGCACCAGAAGGGGGCAGTGAGAATTCTGACATCCGTTATATTAGGTGAGTGACATTTAATTGCTTCCCTTGTTGCAGCCTCTATTAGCTATTGGGAAATATACTTACTTTCCATATTTTGCTGTTAGGAACCCACTGCACAGACAGCCTATTGTTCCACCTACACAATACATAGACACGATGAAGGACCACAATAATGTGAGTGTCTCCTGTTGCAGCACAGACCCATATCGCTCCAGCCAAGTTTCATTGATAAACTTCTGGATGTACTGGGACAGAAAAAGGGACTTTCACAAACAATAATTCTTCATAATGTTTAAAACTTTAAAGAGGTGAATGATAGTAATTGATAAAAGCATGACTATGGGACATTTGTTTGCAAATTAGGATTGACATTTCCTCCCATATGGACTAATAGTGTGAGATACTCTTTCAAAACGCAATTATACTCTTTAGTCTGCTGAACCCTGGTACTCCTACACCAAAATAGTGGGACCTTTTATTGACTCTAGTGAAGGGCAGTTGCTCCTATTGCAGGTAGTGGTTATAAAGAGAAAAGGGCTGAACTGAAGGTTGAGAGTCAGTCAGCTAGTTGTTAATCTTTTTTCTCCATGGCATAATCTTTGAGGAGGGTGTTTCAATATGTTGTTCCCACAGAGTTCTGTGAGAAGTTGTCTTTGGAGCACAGCTCCTAACAATCATGCAAAGTCCTTTTGTCTTTTGACAGTGGACAGTATGGCATTGGAAAGAGCTGGGAATAAACCCACATAGCAGCACCTGACAGATTTTTTTAGAGCATCTTCAAAGAGTAAGGCCGTGACGAACAGTTACAGATGTGATCTGGTGAAGGCTTTGCTTACCGGAGATGTGTAATTGATGACAGACATTTGAAAACCAGACAAGTGGGTTCCCCCAAGCCCTAGCACCGTAATCATTAGCAGTAGCTTCCGGTATTGAACCTGCCAAAGGTGACGAAACACATTGTAAGTTCCTGATAGCTCCTGGCTTTAGACCAGGAGACAATTGATGAGATGTTCTGTCTTCACATTTCTATGATTTACTGTAAAATGCAAACACCCATTTTGAATTTTTCAATCATGCTGCTTGCCAGTGAGTAGGGCTAGAAGACAAGAAGTTAGATACTCACCAGGTCTGAGAGGAAACCAGCCATTTGCCCTTGAAACCTGCCTGCTCTGAGAGCCCTTGTCAAGTCTGTCAGATGAGAGGTATGTTTTCTATGTGTAGATTCTAAGAAGTGGGGATCATGTCACAGAAGTTAAATTCTAACCCTGTGGCTTTTAGTGAATTGTGTCCTCCTCCAGCAGTGACCAGGGACCCTTTTTGCTGGTTTAATTATTCCAAGACCCAGATACGCCAGGCTGGTTGCAACACTGGTAAATGTTTATCCGTCTTCTGTTGGGAGTGCTCCCCCTCACTTGTACTGCCAAAGCAACTGCATGTTCCTGTGAGGAGCTGGATGGTGTTCCTATCTTTCCTTCAGGATAGCAGAGTCCCTCTTCACCTCTCTGACATGCAGCTTAGGCTGAGTGTTTTTCCTTTTCTTAAGTCTACTACAGAGATAAGCCTCTTAGTATTTTGAGTATTTGTATTATTAGCTGGGCTGTAAGGCCTCTTCTTGTATGCTGTAACATTTTCCATTGCTTGAAATGAACTGAATGATTTTCCAGTTGCAGGACTGGTGAATCTCTGAATATTGGCATATTTGGTCCTTGTGAACACCCAGCTCTTTAATCAGGGTTACTGTTTCCAGAACCACTCAGAAGCCTCACTCTTGCCTCTTTTTAACAACAGAGGTGGCTACTGTGTGCCAGACAGGGATGCTCATTGTGGTCTGGCTAGAGAACTGATTTTTAGAAGTACTTTTCACCTTAGAGAAAATTATTTTTAATCAGCCAAAGACTTGACTGTTTACACAGTGTAAGCTACTTCTTGCTTCCTTCAGGCTTCTATATATTACGTGTAAGATTTTGTACTACACTGAATACAGTGGAGCTCACTCTGCACTACAAAGATTTAACTGTCTGTGGTTAGTGCTGAAAGGGGCAGTGGGAAGGTGGGGCTACGGTTCTGAAAGCAACAGAAGCTTTGCTCAAGAGCACAGCGGAAGCGCTGACATTCCTCCTACAGTTTGCTTGTCACATTACAGTGACTGACAACAACCCCATGCTGTCCTCTGGGCCGTGTGCCCTGCAGCACAGGGCAAGCTTGCTGAGTCATGCCTTGACCTTTCTCCTGCTGCATGTCCCAGTAATGCTCTCTCCAAACCCTCTGCTTGGGTGTCTCACCGCACATCAGCACAGTGAAATAATTGGAGCGGAATTCATCTTTTCACCCATTCCATTTTCATCATTCCTGAAATCCTCGTTACCTCCGCATCAGGTGTGGTCATGTATTTCATTCCTTTGCCTCTCAGCAGAGACTTCTCAAATGCTATCACTTCCTCTTCCAAAACACCCCAGAATCTGTCTTCCTCTTCAATTACTACTGCAAAAATCCCTGTCTTTATTTAGCTTTTCTCTTGTTTCTTACAAATTCCTCCTCTCAGTTTCCAGTCATTTTAACACTGGCCACTGCCCCCTCCTCAGCTAAAGGTTTTGCTGTCAAAGGGAAGACTGCAGCCAGATCATACAGCTATCCCCTGTCCTCTCTTACCACCACCACCCACTTTATCCTCAGGGGTCACACCAGAACTATGTCCAGCAAAGTATCCCAGAGCTGTCAGTTGCAAATAATACTGTTAGGCAAAAGCATAATAGCAGCAGGCCCCAGTGATGAGCAACACAGGGACTTTGCTGGTCAGGACAGTTTCTTTATATTTGCTCCTTGCACCCATTTACTGAGATCCTCTTTGAAGTCTTGTAAACTTCTGTTGTTCCAACTCCTGGGGCAGAAAGGTCAAAGGAGATACTTGAACAATCCAGTGTTACTTTTTGCTTTCTGTCAGGACACACTAAAAGCTACTTTTGAAATAATAGTTAACCCTCTCTTTTGCTGTTTCTCTGTGGTTTTGCCTTTTAACTTCTGTTTCCTGTGTCAAATTTGAATGTCAGATCTCTGTTTCCAGATCTTTTCAAGCTGCAGTGTCTCATGCAAGTCTGTTTTTACTTTTCTCTTTTCAGAAGGCTTCTGCCAATCTAACAGAAAACCACTTTGCTAGGCTCAGACAGCATGGTTCAAGCACCTTAGAGTGCGGTCATGAGCAGGGGGCCTGAATGAGCTAGAGAGGAAAGGAAGATTTGTTCTTTGAGCTGAGGATGGAAAGCATGGTTGCTGGAAGGAAGGACACACATGGCAGCTCTTGTTCTTTCTGAAGGAGTTTTGAACCACTGTACAGCCAGATTTTAAGATCTGGTTGATCAAACAGTCCATGCAGAGTGCTGTTCCTCCTCTCTGTATTTCTCCCAGAATATTCACACTGCTGTCTCATTTCTATCTGGCTTCACCCTTTTATTCAGTGCTGTACTATGGGAAAAACAAGACTTAAGTGCATAATACAGTTCTTATTTATTTTCCTACAGAAGAGGACAGAAGAGTCTTTTCACCTAGGGTTTGAACTCTACAAGAAATGTACTTATTCCAGACCCAGTGCTTAACTCACCCAATACCCTTAGCTTGGAGGGCTTTTGGTTTCAAAGATGTCATGTGTTGCATTTGCGTGATCCTGGAAACCAAACAGATATGCTGCAGATTCACAAGTACCTCTCTAACCTTTATTCCCAATCCATGCTACTTGATGGCAGTGTTAATGATTTACTGCACTTTCCTGCTTCTGACCCCTTTAGTGTCTTGTAAGACACTAAAAACTTCCTCACTGGCAACCAGTATGGTTGAGAAAGACCAGAACATATAAAGACTTTAAAAAAATCAAGGTCTTACCTAATCTTTTCCTTCTCTCTCTCCCTTTTTGTTTTCCTTCTTTCCCTCAGCATTTTCCCCCAGAAGCAGGAATGGGGGTCAGCTTTGCTGTGGTATTGTTCAGTCCATGTTCTCTGGCCTTGAAACTGTAAACTTTATCTAGCTTTCTTCTGTAATATGATGATTGTCATAGGAAGGATGGCTGTGTTGATGATGTCTACTGGTCTTAGCATTACCTCTTGGCACTGCTACAATATTGATTTGAAGATAAAATAGCAGTTTTATCTGCACAGACTTAGGGCTGTGAAAGAAACTACCACTCAATAGTCAGGTCCTTTTGCAAATTTTATTGTGCAGTATCTGCAACATTCAGTAGTGGAAATCTCATTTCCAGAACAAGAAAGCCACAGTATTCCTTGACCCCAACAATACAGTCCCAGAGGATGGGCTCTGTGTCCCTGACTCTTCAGTCAATGAAAACCAAATCCAGGTATGATCAGTATGATGTGTTTTCTTACCTGTTGCTTTTTTTATTTCCTTATCAGTAAATTGTAAAGCATGAAGAGCAAGAATGTGTCACATCCTATAGCAATGAATACAAAAAGTGAAGCCCTTGTTACCATGTTTTGTCATTAAAATGTGCAGTATTCAGAGGAGTGGAGAGAGAAGCAAACACTCAGACATGCAGACTGGGTTCTACTGGAGGAGCACTACTCTTTTTTGTCTCATCAGTACCAGGTACTCTTGGAAACACAATTCCATTGAAACCCAGCGTTCCTTCTCTCTGACATGAAATAGCACCAGGCTGAAGACATGCTACATAGTTATTGAGAATGAAGGAGAACTTGCCCAGCCTGAATTAGCCCACACATGATTTCCTGCAGCTCTACTTTCTTTATGTCTTGCTTTCTTCCAGTGCTGGCAAATCCCTGTTTGTCCCAATAGGAGAATCTCCAAAATCTAGGCAGTGTACCTGATTACCAAGCAAGAGGTTTGACTTGAGGCAACAGGTTGTGTTTGGATACTGCTCTAGCATAGTGTCTCCTTTACACCAAGACCTTTTATCTCCTTCACACCTAGCAATGACTTTCCCCCTCCTCAAAATAAAATAAAATAAAAAACAACAAAAAAACCCACCCCAAAACAAATTAAAAGGGATGAAGACCACGCTGCAAGTCACAGAAGTGTGGTCATAAGCTCCTCAAGAAAGTCCTAGTTGCCCTCATACCTTGTACTTGCTCTCAAATCTAACTGTAAGAAGAGGAAACATTGCATACCAGTTCTGCCTACTGAAAGGCAGGGTACTCTTACTCCACTTATTAAAGAGCTAAACACTTCTTTTCATGTGGACTGAAGCTCCTTCTCTGGGAGAGCTCAGCAGCACTGGCTTGTTCGTAGGAGCAGATAATTTCAATGTGAAAGCTGTGTCTTCTTTTTCTCTGTTTCACAAGTATGCTGTACATCTGAACCTTCCACACTCAGTTCCTCCAGTAACTGTGGAGTCCTGGTTTTGGTTAGGAAAGTAGGAGATCCTGTGTTCTCAGTTACACAGCTGCTAACTTGCAGGGACTGACAAAGATCTTATTTCTTTCTAGACTGTGTGTAATTTTTTTCTGCAGAGGATTGAACTCGGCTCATATTCCAGCAGTTGGAGAGAGCCACCAAATTCATCCTGCACTGCAAGTGATTATTTTTAAAGTACACTTTTTTTGCTGTTTATGGAGAGATGGATTCTGTCTTGTTTAGGGAGGCTTCTGGGCACTACAGTAATAAGAGTGGAGAGTTTGTTATTAAAGTCTAGTAACAGTCACCACTGAACAGTTACTCTGCTCTAGGATTGTCTGTTTCTTCTTCCCACGGTAGTTCAGGCGGTTGAACTCCTCCATGACCTGCAGCATGGTCTTTCCTTTGGTCTCTGGCATCACCAGGAAGACAAAGATAGCCATGGACAGACAGTATGTCAAGAAAATGATGAAACAGAAACTACCAAGACCTTCCTATAGGAAAAGAAAGAGACAAAATGTGTTCACATAAATTGACCTAGATCTCTTTCTCTTATGATATGGAGTTCCTGGTTTTCTATTTATTAAAAAACATGGTCAGGGACTCGATGTAAATCCTGCTTGATGCCACCTGGGAAATGGCATGGAGTGGTAAGATGAACTAATTCTCCTTTCCTGTTTTAAGAAGGAAAGTTCTATGCTCAGCAGAAATTGAATGTCATTGCTTGACAATCTAGAGAAGTGCTGAGCTTCAGTTACTCTTCTGTCTGCTCTGTCCTTAGTCTGTGCTAGACTGGGTAAGGTAGGTAGCATGTTAGTTCTGTCCCTCCTTGCACAGCCCAGAACTGCAAAGGCTTTTGTTTCCTGATATGTACAAGTGCAGTGAGAGATCTCTGAAACCGCCCATTTTCCAAATATACCCCAAAGGAGATGAACACACAGGACAGGGGGGGAAAAGAAGGGAACCCCTCATGACATTCAGATGTCTTGGACAGTTGTTAGTGCCTCTGTCATTGCTTCAGTGTTTGTCAGTGTTACACTCTGTGTAGATAGTGTTAGTAGCATCTAGAGTTTATCTAGCACTTTCACTAGATATCTGGGTAAGAAGAAAGGAGTATCAGAACTGCAATTAGTTTGAGCTGTCCTGTGTGTCAAGTACTGAAAAAGAGAAGTGTGCT